TAGGACAGGATTGGTTTAGTAGCTTCGCTGTAGATTTCGCTCTTTGCTGTTAAGGTAGGTTGAAGGTTGGCGCGCTTGGTCGTGTTTTCTACAGGTTGCGCGTTCCTGGCCTTAGATGGCGGCACGATGCAGAGAACTACGTTGAGTGCTGAACTTGCCACTAGATGTCGGATGCAGTATACTGGAAGACGCATATCCGGCATATAAAGTCGTTCTGTACGAAGAAGCACTTGTGGATGTATTTAGGGGATTAGCAACGTAAGCCATAGTAAGAAGTTTCGCTTACCACCTGGATCTTCCCCTTTCCTCGTATTGTCACGTGTTCCAGGTTCGGGAGTATTTTGAGTCCATTCTCGCCTTGCGACGGGCAGTCCATCACTACCCGTGGGGTCCTCCCAGAATTTTAATATGATTAATATTTTCAGAAATTCTGAGTTGGAACGGGTGTGAAAGAGTTATACGTAAAAGGTAGATAAATAAGTGACGTTTCGTGGCTTGCTGGACAATTTCCAATCGTCTCCTAATATTAGAGTCGTTAAGGAGGGTGAGGTGGTCACGGATAATGGAACTGAAAAAAGGAGACAAAACTTTGGTCGCAAAACCTCACCCCATTGAGGCAGACTTTTGTTATCACAACTTCGTTTTCCACAAATTAAGGATAATCCGTGTCCTGCTAAATACGGCACCACGGAATTCGGTTTTATTAAGTTTAATTAACTTTGTTTTTCGTCCATAGATTTACCTGTTGGTTTGGAACAACCTTGAATTCACTTGGTATTACCTGAAGATGCACGTCAGGTGGATGGAACTAATTTAACCGGTTTCTACGTGCGAAGAAGGTTTGTTAGATGTGAACTGTAACTCTGAGGTTAATAAGCGCAGTTAGTAGGACACGCCCAACAAGTGGAGTCCTGTGCATGTCCTTAAAATGATCGTGTTTAACGAAAGTCGACACATCCTTATGGCATAAAAAATCACCCTTGTCCGTCAAATTAAGTCTTAATTAGGCCCTAATGCAAAGTTATCCTTTAAATGAACCAAAATTAAACAGACTCAAATGGCCAGGGAAAATTATGGTAGGCTTACCACACGTGATGTAGTTAAAATCTGACGGATATGCAAGTTCTCATAGAATTTCCCATTTTTTACTAATTGCTTCGATGTAGTCACGTTTGGTGACCGTAAGTTTTAAAAAAGATTTCTTGCATCTCATGTCAACAACCGACTATACCGGTTTTTTGAAGCCAGATTTAAAAATAATATAAAAAAAGAACGACGCGCGTTTTGTTTTGTTTTTACCGTATTTATGAGTTCCTCAGCCTGCCACCTGTGGCGCTATTAACCAGCGTGGAATGCCCGGACGAGGTTTATTAGCTCCCTCATAATGGAAGGTGGTGTAGTCTGGTAGCAAACTCGGA